TGGGGGCAGCGGTGGGTCATCCAAGACAGGCCCAGGCCCAACGTAGGTGGGTTGTGGTTAAAAATAAGGGGACTCATTTGGGGGCCCAGGTGGTTAAGGAGGTGAGGCCGGTGGCTTATAAGTCCAGCCCACAGAGGGGTGGCCTCTCAAGCCTCAAAGGGGTTGGTGATTTGGGCCTTTCTGAGCAGCCCAATAGTCTTGTTAATACGGATGTGGGTCGGACTGAGGGTGGGTTGGATTGTAGGGCTTCCTGTGATCTACATATGAGTGAGTCGGGTCGAGTGGCTCCGTTTGGGCTAGGGGGTCATTAGCGAGGATCTGTGTTGCCGTCTGGACTGGAGTTGGTGGTCCACCGTGCCATATCTGTTGAGGCACAAGGATTACAACTGGTAGAGGCGTCGGAGAGTGGCACTTCACAGTTGGCGACTTCGAAGTTGGATGTGCGACAGTCCCAGTTGGAGCTAGATATGCCTCGCGATGTGTCATCTGATGAGAAACATGGGTCGCGTCTGCTAGTGGCGTCTGAAAGAGATACTTCTCAATCAGCGACCTCAGAGTCAGTTGAGCGACAGTCCCAGTTGGTGTTGGAGACGTCTCGCGATGCATCTTGGGCTGACCGAGGAGAAAAGGGGCATGAATGTGTGGGATAGCCACAAGTCTTGGAGTTGCAGCCCTTAGCAGTGCAAGACAGTGACTTGGTCACTTGTTTCAAACAAAAACAGAGGTTTGAGGATATTGGGGGATTATCGGGGGAGGAAATCCCTTCGGCAGAAGCTGTGTCACAGTGGGTGTTGGATCGGATTAGTGAAGTTAGTCGTTGTTTGGGCTGGTCCTTTGAAGGCCATGAAGATGAGGCTATGCGACTTTTTGCGGCGGTGGAGGCTTCATGGAGGCAAGGTACTCCCAGTCCAAGGGTGTCTCGCTCATTGGTGACCCTTTCTAAAGGAAATCGGGAGCTAGGGATATTTGGAATGTTCTGTGAATTATGATCATGGTGTGAGGAATGTAGGACGAGGTGAAAGGAGAGATCGGAGGGGCCCATTGTTGTTGAAATGATGTTAAAAATTGTATCGTGGAATGTGCGGGGGTTGAATGATAGAGATAAAAGGGTGGCGGTGAAGGCGGTTTTGCGGAGTGCCAACCCGGATATTGTATGCTTACAAGAGACGAAGATGGAAGAGGTGGGAGTGGAGCTGATTCGCGAGGTGTGGGGGAGAGGTTTGTGGAGTGGACCTTTTTGCCCTCGTTAGGCACGGCAGGTGGAGTTCTTCTCTGTTGGGATAAGAGGGTAGTGGTGAGGGAGGAGGAGGAGATATGAGGTTTTTCTGTCTCTTGTCTGTTCCGTTGTATGGATGATAATTTCCGATGGGGTTTTACTGGGGTCTATGGGCCTGTGCAGGATTCCGAGCGGGGTTTGTTTTTAGAGGAGATGGAGAATATAGCCTTTGGCTGGGATGTCCTCTAGTGTGTAGGGGGTGATTTTAATGTTGTCCGTTGGCCTTCGGAGAAGTCGGGGATTGCCAGGAGTTCGGGGGCAATGCGGGCTTTTTGCTCTTTTATTGATGATTTACAGCTAGTTGATTTACCTATCCAGGGGGGCAGCTTCACTTGGTCAAATGGTTGGAGTTTGTCTCGAATTGATCGGTTCTTGGTTACTGTGGGCTGGGAGGAGCACTTTTCTGAGGTGGTTCAGCTTCGTTTACCTCAACCTGTGTCTGATCATTGGCCAATTTTGTTGGGATAGTGGGGGGATCCAACGTGGTCCTATGCCATTTCGTTTTGAGAATATGTGGTTGCAACACGAGGGTTTTCTAGACCTGGTTCGTGGTTGGTGGAATAGCTACAAGGTTCGTGGTTCTCCTAATTGTGTGTTGGCTCAAAAATTGAAGATGTTGAAAGCGGCCTTAAAAAATTGGAATAAGGAGGTGTTTGGTCGGCTAGAGGGCCAAAAAGCTGCAGTGGTGTCTTCACTTCAATCCTTCGATGAGCTGGAGGTGCAAACTGAGCTGCCTCTGAGGCCGGTATTCGTAAGGAGGCGGCTAGGCAGGATTTTGTTCGTATATCCCGTATGGAGGAGGTTTGTTTTCGTCAAAAGTCTAGATGTTTGTGGTTAAAGGATGGGGATCGAAATACGAAATTCTTTCACCGTATGGCTAACGCTCATCGAAAGGTTAATCAGATTAGTAGGTTATGGGTGGATGGTCGGGAGCTGCACATCGATAGAGAGATTAAGGACGGGGTAGTGGGTTTCTATCAGCATTTATTCCGGCCTCAAGAAGGGGTTTGGCGGCCGGGCCTGGAAGGTGTTCAGTTTGCTACGATTCTGGGCGAGGATCGGGAGAGTTTGGAGTGAGCTTTTACTGAGGAGGAGGTGTTTGGAGCTTTGCGGGCGATGAGTGGGGATAAAGCCCCAGGTCCGGATGGTTTCACTATGGCTTTCTTCCGGCATTGTTGGAGCGTGGTTAAGGGTGATATCATGGCAACTTTGGCGGATTTCCTGGTGTCTGGGCATTTGGAGAAAAGTTTCAATGCAACCTTTTTGGCTTTGATTCCGAAGAAAGGAGGGGCTGATGATATTCGGGATTTTAGACCTATAAGTTTGTTGGGGAGTGTGTATAAGTTATTGGCTAAAGTGTTGGCAAATCGTTTACGAGGCGTTTTATCGACTGTGGTGTCAGAGTCTCAGAATGCGTTTGTTGGGGGGAGGCAGATTTTAGATGCAGTTTTGGTTGCCAATGAGTGTGTGGATTCTTGGATTCGCCAGGGGCGCCCTGGTTTGATTTGCAAATTGGATATTGAGAAGGCGTATGATAATGTTAATTGGGAGTTCCTCTTGTATGTACTGGATCGTATGGGCTTCAGAGCGACTTGGTGTCAGTGGATCAAGTTCTGTATCTCGACTGTGCGGATGTCGGTGTTGATTAATGGGACTCTGGCGGGATTCTTTCAGACTCATCGAGGCCTTCGGCAGGGGGATCCTTTGTCCCCCCTGCTATTTATCTTAGTGATGGAGGCGTTGAGTCGATTGTTGGATAAAGTTGTGCGCGAAGGCTTCTTGGAAGGTTTTGTTGTGGGGTCACTAGCGGGAGTTCCTTTGGGGGTTTCGCATTTGTTATATACGGATGACGCCTTGATTTTCTGTGGTGCGGAAACTAGGCAGGTTGGTTATTTGCGATGTGTTTTGTTTTGTTTTGCGGTGGTTTCGGGCCTTTGTGTTAACTTGCGGAAGTCGGAGCTCATTCCAGTGGGGGCGGTTGCTAGGTTACCTGTTATGGCTGCAGTTTTGGGGTGTAAGTGTCCTATTTGGGTTTGCCTTTAGGGGCTTCTTTTAAGGCCAAGAGGGTGTGGGTTGGAGTTGTGGAACGGGTCCAACGTCGGTTGACAGGTTGGAAGTGCCAATATCTTTCGAAAGGCGGCCGTTTAACTTTGCTTAAGAGTGTGTTGAGTAGTATCCCCACTTATTTCACGTCGGTCCATGTTATTCCAGTGTCAGTGGCACATCGGTCAGAAAAGCTTCAGAGGGATTTTTTGTGGGGGACTGGTGGTGATGATTTTAAGTATCATTTGGTTGATTGGGGTCAGATTTGTCAACCCAAGCGAGTTGAAGGGCTGGGGGTACGTCGGTTGGTGACTTTTAACCGAGCTTTGTTAGGGAAGTGGCTTTGGCGTTTTGCTTTGGAGCCTTACAGATTGTGGCGGCAGGTGGTGGCATCTAAATATGGGCTGGACAGAGGGGGTTAGGTTTCTAGGTCTAGGACCTGTACTTATGGGTGTGGGTTATGGAAAGGAATTTGGTTGGGCAGGGTAGAGTTTTGGAAATGGATAGGGTTTAAGGTGGGGGATGAGAGTAGGGTGCGGTTTTGGAAAGACTTGTGGTGTGGGGAGTTGGTGTTGGAGACTCGTTTCCCGTTGATTTTTAATATTGTATTAGATCAAGATGCATTGGTGGCTTCCTATTTGGATGGTGGGGGCGTGGTAGTTTAGGATATTCAGTTACGGCGACAGGTTCATGATTGGGAAGTCGCTCAGTTGGTGGAGTTGTGGGGTTTTTTATATGGTTTGGGAACAGTCGGGGTGGGCCCCGATGTGTTGGTATGGACTAGGTTGGGGGCAAAGGGGCGGTTCACAATAGCCTCATTTTATCAGGGTTTGATGGGAGATGCTGGTTGGGTCTTCCCTTGGAAAAGTGTTTGGGTTCCGGGGGTTCCGACTAAGGTTGCCTTTTTTATGTGGACGGTAGCTTTAGGTCGGAATCTTACTTTGGATAATTTGATGCGGCGGGGGCATATCCTTGTGAATCGGTGTTGTATATGTTGCGCGGATGCGGAGTCAGTGAATCATTTGTTTCTTCATTGCTCGGTGGCTTCGCGTTTGTGGGGCTTCGTTTGTTCACTTTTTGGTCTTGCTTGGGTTCAGCCACAAGGGTGTTTGATTTCCTTTGGGCTTGGCGGGGCGTTCGTCTTGGCCAACGGCGGCGCCAAGCTTGGTTATTGGCTCTGTTCTGCTTGATGTGGTTGCTTTGGTTGGAACGGAATCGTCGTACCTTCTTAGCGGTTTCTCATAGTGTTTCTTGGTTACAAAGTCATCAATTTATAGTTTTGTATAGTTGGTTGGAAGGGAGGGTCGATCCAGATTTATTTGTATTTTTAGATTTTCTAGATGAGGTGATTGGTTAGTTTTGGTTTTTCTTGGTTCCCTTTCTGGGTGGTTTTTCTTGTATTGGTTGTATCGTCTTGATGCTTTTTTAATAAATTTGCTTATTTATCAAAAAAAAAAATTTATTATTTTATCAATGCAAACTAAACAACATAGGTGTCAATTCGACAAGTTTCAGTGAGATGACAATGAAAGGAACCTTGTAAAAGGTAAAGTATTCAAAACGAAAAGTCTGCCATAATTTTTTTTCTCCTTTTGTTTGAATAATCAATAAAAACTACATAAAAAATGAATAGATACACACACAGCTGTGATCCATGACTAAAAGTAAGGTTTACAATGTCTTAATATAAACTTAAAGTTATATTAGCATTGACCAACTAATGTAGAATATCTCTGCAATGAATTTAGGATACATTGTAAATTGCATAATATCTAGATTCATTAATGCATCAGTAGATTACATCATTTTATAACAATCTTCGCAACATCAATTCTTATTCTCCCCTTATGAGTACTGACAAGTTCTGTACAAATCGATTGACTATATATACGGATAAAAGAGGCAAAATACCCAAAATACAGGCAATGCACATAACCTCCTCCACGGTCCTCCATCAGCACCCCTTATCTCCAAGTATCTCTTCAACATGACCTGAATGGAATAAGTAGAATATGGCTTTTGGTGAACAATATAACAGATAGAGGAATACTTTCAGATAAATATATTTATAACTGACACAACATGTTCACACTATTGCAAGCACAAACCTCGGGAAATATTGTTGTCAGATGATTCTCCCAATCATTCAAGGTTGGCAATTCGCCTGGAATTGGAGCCAGTTTTCCTGACATGAAATCCTGCAAAAATATCAAATGAGAAGCATTACATATAAAATAAATCAGAAGTACAAGACAAAAAGTCATGGTTGAACAAAATTCAGTGTGAGCAAAGCCAAGCATAGTAATAAAAGAAAGCCAAAACTCAGTTGAGAAACTAATAAGGATAGAAGAAAGGAGTACGGGCTTGCCGGAATATTTGCTCCCCGTACAGTAATAAAAGAAAGCCAAAACTCAGTTGAGAAACTAATAAGGATAGATGGTAACCTGACATTCCAGTACAGTCAATATACTTCTTTTTTTGACAAACAAAATACATCGTCACATCAAGCGCATAATCTACATACTCTTCAAACCTATGCCCAGAAAAGGTAATGGAAAGGTCATTGTCATCTTCAATTAAATTATATTCACAACAAAGCAACAATATAGATCTTCAAAATTCGTGCATGTAATATTGGAAAAATAAAAAATAAAAAATAAAAAATCAATAAGCCACCAAATAATGCTACTTAAGAAATTGAAAGGACTAAACCAAACAGGTGGCATAGCATTCTTATTACTGATGCAAACTTAATCTTTCCCAATCATTGAGCAGAAAGATGCTGTGTTCTAAATTATTTACAATAACAACTAATATTTGCTAGTTAACATTCTATTTAAATTATGAAGAGAAGAAAAAAAAAGCTTCATTCATTTAATATTTTGTAGAGCACATCTACGGTATTTTGTTAGTGGCTTGTCACCCAAATTTTATAAAATAACTTTCCAAGATAGCACGGAAAACCTTGACATATACCATTTTTTCTATCTGTTCTACCTAACAAAAATGTAAACTTACCCAAAGAAGTCAACAAAAACAAAGGGGAGCATGCCAATACGGTTGTTAATCCGTATCAGTCCAAATTTGGCTGGTGAAACATATAAGAATTAATACATCAAACCTAGTGAAATATTAGAGGAACATGAAGGTAACAAGTAGATGGCAAGTTATAAAAACCTTCTCTTACAAAGATAACCATTCGGCTTTCCTTCAGTGAAAGGTGAATTGGCAAACAGTGATGTTGCAATCTGTTTAATTTCTATGCGAGTTAGATTCTAGAGAACCAAAGATAATCCAGTAAGAACAAGGAGCAAGGTTTAATACAGGCTGCAAAGAATTCTAGGGCTTGGATTGGTATTGATTGTGCTTTTATCTTCAACTTTTTTTTTTTTTTAATCTCTGATGAAAATGGAAGAAATCATTTTTGCTTGAATTGTGCTATAAATGAAAAGAAACGATGGCTGGGGACTGGAGGGAAATTAGTGCTGCACTATCTTACATTTATTGCGTTGTGGCCCCTACCCTTGGTCTATAGATAAGTCAACATTAGGGGTGTGCGCGGTGCAGGTCGGTGTGGTTTGAGAGAAAAATAGAAACCGTATGACGGGTGGCGGATTGATAAAAGTGTCACTAGAATTTGTCATTTTCCTTATAAAAAACGGGCGGTTCGGTTGGCAAATAATGGCGGATTTGCCTTGGCGGTTCGGGCAGATTGGCGGTTTATAAAAAATATAATTCAAATTATAAAACTTAAATCAAAGAGTAAAAAAAAAATGAGAGATACCGTGATGTTAAGCATCTTGCAAAGCTTTCTTCTGATGTAGCAAGTGTAGCAACAACATGATAATATCAACGACTATGCCATCAGTTCATTACAAGTATCTGTGGAAGCTACAATGATCAAATACAATACATAAAATTAATATTATTCAGGGTTTATAATATATTGAAAATGTTTACTGTTGAAAAGTATTTAGATTGAAAAGTGAGCTGATGCAAGTTTTCAACATGGCCAAAAAAAAAAAGATTGAAAAATGAATTGGAATCCAACTTTATTTTGGATTACTGACATCTTGAATTCCCCTCGAGCAATAATGTAATACTATATTCTAAGGTATAGAACAACAAGCAAACTTAAGTAAAAAAGAATTTTTAGAATCTTATAAAACATGATTTAATAGCGATACGGGTCGGTGCGGTTTGGAAGAAAAATAGAAACCAGCGGATTGATAAAAGTGTCACTAGCATTTGCCATTTTTCTTACCAAAAACCGGCGGTTCGATTGGCAAATAATAACGAATTTGCCTTGGCGGTGCGGTTCTGTGCGGTTTTGGCAGTTTCGGCGGTATTATGCACACCCCTAGTCAACATGGGCCCGTGGGGGTCCACTACGGGTCCCGTTTTGATAATCTGAACCGTTAATGTGTAGAACTCGTCGAGTACTATATGCCTGTAAAAAATCATGTTGATCGGATATCGATAGATATATGATCGAATCAGTTTCGTATTAAAAAAATTAGACGGTGAACAAATTAACGATTGACAAAAAATTATTTTGATCACATAGCTATCGATATCCGATCAACGTAATTTTTTACAGGTATATAGTACTCGATGATTTCTACACATTGAACGGTTCAGATTATCAAAACGGGTCCCGTGGACTGGACAGAAGCCATACCCAAATAAAATTGCATTCATACCCTTCTACTTATGGTTTATTCCTATTCATACTCAATGTTTTTGTGTTTTTCGAAACAAAAATAATGAAAAGTTGTAGAACGTCCATCTTTTATTTTGTTTTGATTGATAAATAAAAGGTTGATTAAATGAATATTTATAAGGGGATTTTTTTTAAGGTCTCTGGTATTAAAATTTTATAGCATCAAGGACACACAATATTTTCATTATGTCTAAGGTCCTTCAATTTGATCCAGAGAAATTTCATCCAGAGAAATTTCATCCAGAAAATTTCTCTGGACTTCCCAGAGAAATTTCTCTCCAGAGAAATTTCCATCCAAAGGAATTTCATCTAGAGAATTTCTCTGGACTTCCTAGAGAATTTCTGTCCAGAGAAATTTCTCTCCAGAATTTCTCTTGACCTCTGAGAGAATTTCTCTCCAGAGAACTAGAATTTCTCTGGGAGGTTTCTCTATTTCTCTGGACCTCCCAGAGAATTTCTCAGAGAAAATTTACACAATGGCCAAAATCCCAAAGAATTTCTCTGGATAGAAATTTTCTCCAGAGAAAATGAATGAAGAATTTCTCTAGATCACTTTAAGCCAGAGAAATTCTCTCAAAATCAATGAAATTCCCAAAGAAACATTGCCAGAGAAATTCTCTCTAACCCAGAGAAATTTCATTTTCTGTGATTTGCAAGGGCGGGTCTTTACTTATCTCTCAGACTATTTCAGAAAAAATGAAATGCCAAGGCAATTCAAGATCTTAAAAGTATGTTCTTATTAGTAAAGGTCTTTTTCCCCTTGTTTGTTTCTAGAGTAGTTATTACAGGACAAACAAAAGTGTGCACCATGAATTGAAGCATGCACATGCACATCCACAATGCACACAGTTTTCTTTTTAGTCAGAGAAATTCAAGTACAGAGAAATTTACTTCCAGGGAAATTCTCTCAAACCCAGAGAAATTTCATTTTCTGTGATTTCCAAGGGCATGTCTCTCTACTTATCTCTCACACCCACTTAGCAATCAACCATGAATATATATATATATAGAGAGAGAGAGAGAGCAAACCAGGGGATGAGAGCTATTTGTGGATGACATGGGAGTCTTTGTTGATCACCATTTTCTCATTTTCATCACCATGAAACTTTGCTGCTATCATCTTTCAACTTTCAACAAAACTGAGCTATACTTGTGACCACCACAATTCTGATCTGTTCGGTTTAAAAAGGACTCATCATCATCAACTTTGAAACTCTTCATTTCATAACTATTTGTGTTGTTTCTAGGTTGAGATTATGAAGTTTTGTTCTTTTCAGATGATTGCGAGGAAGAGGAGAGACCAGTGAGCCTCTGCACCAGGGCCAATGTTTGTTGAAGAGGCCATGTTCGTCCTTCAAAGGGTTCTCTACCTCCAGCTTCACCGACACCATTTTCATGCTCTAAGATTCCGATTCCGGCAAAGATTTCCTTAAATTCATCAACTGAACCATCAATATCTCTTGATCAGCTGCGAATTTGACCCCAAAGACCTTAAAAAACAGAAATTCGAAGGAAAAACGAGTCGATTAGAAGAATCTAAGAGAAAGAAACCCTAGAAATCGAAGCCCAACAAGCCTTTAGGAACTGACAGAGAGAGAGAGAGAGAGAGAGAGGGCTCACTCGGCTATATAAATTGATCTCACGCTCTTCGGGAAGTAGCTCACTGAGGGACCTTAGACATCACACCATAATATTGTGGATATCTTACAAATATCTCTTGATCAGCTGTGAATTTGACCCCAAAGACCTTAAAAAACAGAAATTCGAAGGAAAAACAAGTCGATTAGAAGAATCTAAGAGAAAGAAACCCTAGAAATCGAAGCCCAACAAGCCTTTAGGAACTGACAGAGAGAGAGAGAGAGAGAGGGCTCACTGGGCTATATAAATTGATCTCACGCTCTTCGGGAAGTAGCTCACTGAGGGACCTTAGACATCACACCATAATATTGTGGATATCTTACATTACTAAAAGTGAAAGAGAGACCTTAGACTAATTTTTCCTATTTTTAATTGATAAAATGACTAATCTATTTAATATTTCTCGTGACATAATTGATCTTATGTATGATTTTATCAATTTTAATTTTAAAAATATATTTATGAAACAATTGTAAAATGGTTAATAATTAATAATTTTCTTAAAACAAAAATTATTTTGAAAAATTTCAAACCAAACAGAGTAAATCAATCGTATGTATGATTTTGTGTTGTTTATAATTTTTCAATTGATAAAATACTTAATCTATTTAATCAAGTTTTTGTAATATTTCATTAGTTTCTATATTTTTAAAAGAATTTTTTTCCCTTTATGAAATATTCACCCTAAATATTTTATTTTGTAAACCCTCTCAAAAAGCAGTGTTTCCTTCCTCAATAACAAAAATAAAATAAAATAGAAGAGTGATTTTACTTACATCATTAGTTTATCTCTTTATACCTTCCATCTCATTACATCACTAAAAATATATATATATATATAATTCTCATTACATCCATTATACTACTAAAACTAACCCTAAATTAAAAACTCTTCAAAACCCTTTCAGTTTTATCTCTTTACACGATAGCTTTTGGTAATACAATATTAAATTCAGTGTTGTGTTAGCAGACAAATTAATTTTTTTCACCCATTTATTGTCATTCAATTGGATGATTGTACTTTACTTTAACAAGAAATTAGTTGGAGGGCCATTTGTGAAGTGCCTGTCTGGTGATACATTACTATACAAATTAGATTACTCAAGTGTCATATTATTGAACTAAAATAAATTTGTTCAATCACCTGTCGCTTTACGTGTGTTGTAGATTGTCTTTATTGTTGTCGTATTAAAGGCATCCCTTTGTTTTAATGTAATTAATATCTCTTTTGATCGCATTATACTCTTTGACATATCAACTAAAAAAGATCTATCCTTAGATAATCTACCAGCAAATGAGTACCCTGCAAGATGTTAGAAGCTGGATGATTGTACTTGCATTGTTGTAATGAGTAGAATAAAAATATAAAAAAAGTCGAAGAACTCTCTCAAAAAATGAAATGAAAACTTACCAAACAAATAAAAAAACTCACAGTTTCACTTTTTTGATGGTTTTTTTTATCACCGTTTCTTCATCCATTGTTTTCTTTTGTGATCAAAACACTATGATTCATACTTTTTAAAAAAGAGATATGTAGCAAAGAAGAAAATTTGAGAAGGAAATAAGAACAGTAGGGATTGAAGAGCAATGGGTGTAAGGAGATAATAAAATATATTTAATTTTAGCCTTTTATCCGTAAAAGTAATTTCACACATGGGTAAAATTGAAAAAAAAAAAAACCTCATATAAAAAGTGTAAGGAGGTAAACTAGTGATGTAAGTAGAATCACTTTGGGAAATTCTATTTCCACATCAGTACACATCTTCTCTCAGTACACACACTTATTAATTTGATTAGTAATTAATTTTCTTAATCCACACACTAAAAGTTACAATTATACCCTTCACTAATAACCATTGTATAAACACCACTCAACTTTCCTTTCCATACACCTGTTGACTAGCCCTGCTTCTAGATTTGTAGACCCATTGTGGAGCCACATGAAGACCATTCAAGACCATAGTGTAAAGTGAAGTAAAAACAAAATCCTCCTGTGGGTGTTGATGTTTGACCATACAACCAAAAGAGGAACTCAGCTAGAGAGCACCGACAGAATATATTAAGCCCAACAACATGTGACAAGAGGATGAGAATCCAGCGGTGGTTCGTCCACTCGGGGGCACTTTGACGATCAAGTCAGTAATCAATATCTCTCAAAGATAGCAAA